CCCCCCCCTCCCCTAAGCGTCATCTTTCCCGTCGTCGTTGTTGTCATCAACGGGGGGGCCCGAACCCAACCAATCCAGCTTCTTCGCATCCTCCGGCCCCGTGATGCTCGTGTCGTGCCTGAAACCAATGCCGCAGGGTGCCCATTGAGGGATGTAGTCGAGGTGCTGTCCGAACGTGGCCTTCGCCTTCCCTAACCTCTCTGTGACGATTTTCGCGGCCCGGATGACGGATCGTCGATGATCGAAGGAGCGATGCATGGCCGCGACGTGTGGGCTTCGCCATGAGGTCCGCAAAGTAAAAAGCCTCGTAGTGGCTGCACGGATCGTCTCCCGCCATGCGCATTATGCACGCCGCCAACAACAGCCTGAAGCAGTCAGCCACCCGACAAAGACGATCATGCGAGATGAACTCGCCATCGAAAAGCGCCCCCATTTGCACCGCCGCGCGGAATGCATGCGCGACGCAGATCACGGTGGACTCCTGGTGCGCCGCCATGTCGTCGTCGTCCGGTCTGTCCTCGAGGTTGGCGCCGGCGAACCACAGTGGCAGGTCCATCGACAGATCTATCGTGTGCGCGCAAACCGCCGAACTGACAACGTCGCACCACTCCTCGCCGTACCACATAGCACGCGCGACGTCCGTCGCAAAGGATTCTAGCGAGTACTGGAAAGCAACATGGTATCCCCTTGGGCGGTTCCCGTACTTGAATACCCAACCGTGCAAGATGCGCAGAGCCACGTTCTCCACTGCCACCGCACGGGAGATCGCTTGCTGCAGATTGGTCGACGATCTTGCCTACGCGCGTGCTGGATTTGGGCAGAACGACGCTCCGAAGGACGGCAGGCGGTGGAAGTCCGCTAGCGATGGCGACGAAGTACTCTCTCGTATCGTGGACGATGTTGTACGGTCTTCGTCCCTCCCCTGTCGTCCAGAGAGCTTTGTCATCGACCCAAAGGACCGCACGATCAATGAGGTCTTTCGTCATGACACTCCTACGTACCCGGCTTGAACCGGGCTCGCCAGCCTCCCGATCGCCTTTCTTATCGCCACGCGCCTCCTCTTTCGCCGTCGCCCCAACTGTTGCCTCCTCCCTCGTCGTCGCAACGGCACCCACAGTGCCCGAACCGCCCGCCCCCGCAGCACCTCCCTCCTCGGCGCCAACTGCGCGCGCGTCTGCCACGACTTCCCCCCCCACGCCCCATTGGACGGACCCTCCATCACCACCCTCGGTGCGCTGACGTGGCTAAGACGGCGTGGCGGGCAACCTACTCGAGACTGGCCTTTCGTTTGCAGCAACGCGTACGGCCACCTCCGGCGGGGTCGCCGTAGTACGAATGCGAATGCGACGTCTCTCCAAGGGCTCGTCATCATCGCCGCCAAGATCCACGACGGGAGCCTTCTCTATCCGCGTTTCGCAGCCACGCAGCTGCTGCGCCTGGAGTGGCGGGGTCAGCATCCTCTTCGAAGCGGTGTGATCTGAAGAGCGCTGCCAACTGCTGTCGTGTACATCAGACGTGGTCGCCTCCGCCTGCTCCTCCTCCGTCGTGAACTCATCATCGTAATCCCCTTCAGCTGCCGCCGCCCAACCTTGCGCTCCACGACGAGGCACCGTTGCTGACGCATCTTCCGTACGCAGCCTCTTCGCTTTCGGGGCCTGCCGCCGCCCTCTTCCCTGCCCTTGGCTGTCGTCAACGACTACGTCGCGCTTCTTCCCACGGGTGTTCCCTCGCGTAGATATGTTTCGTGGCAAGTTTTGCGGGCGACCTGTGCGGTGTGATCGGATGAGCGGGAAGCACGTCTCCCGTGCGGCTGTGGCGTGACGACGACGACGTGCACGTGGTAGACAGAAGATCTCCCTCCAACGGAAGAAGAATGACGACGATGGACCCCCCCCCAACGCAAGAGATCTGTTCATGGGAAGAAGACGACGACGTAGACGTGGCAGACAGAAGATCGGTCCTCCGCGGCGAGAAGAATAGAAGATCGACGAAGACGACGACGAGAGTACTACGCGGCGAGAGGAAGAAGACGTGACGCCGAAGACGACGGCGAGAGTACTCCGCGGCGAGAAGACTGGCGGCGAGAAGAATGGAAGATCGACGATCACAGCGATCCGCGGCGAACAGGCTTGCACCACTTCGTCGTTGTTGTGGGCGGTTTGCAGCAGGTGCGGCGGGCTTCTGTACTGCATACACCTTCGAGGCGAGGACGACATACGAACGGGTTGGGATGCGCAGGACTTTAGTAGTCTCTCGCAGATGGACCTCCCGCGACGTCGCTTCTGTATGACGGGAAATGACATCGTCGACGGTGGCACGTGCGACCGCCCTGCCCACAATGCCGTGTCATTTCGATCCTCCCGAAGGCGCGAAAAGACCCTTCGACGT